AATTAATTCCAGAACTGTGGACGTTATTTGTAATTTTTGCTGCTTATGCACTACAATCTTCAAGAGGCGATTTCTCAAGAACTAGATAGGACATCGGCTTGCAACTTCCAAAGGCCTCCTTAGGAAGCCTGGTTTTAACTATGTGGTGAATTTGAGCAGAATCTAGAAAGACAATTCGTAGGAATAAATTCCGAAACTTGCGGCATTTTTTTTGCGTTGCGTGACTTTTGCACGGAAAATTTCAAGAAACAATTTCTCAAGAACCACTTGCAATATCAATTTGCAGCTTGCAGCAGCTTTTAAACGAAGCTTGACTTTAGTCACGTTGTAAACGTGGGAAAATCGTATCCAAAAACTGCTTCGGAATTAATTGCAGAATTTTGGACGGTTTTTATCATTTTTGCTGCTTATGCACTACAATCTGCAAGAGGCGATTTATCAAGAACTAGATAGGACATCGGCTTGCAACTTCGAAAGGCCTTCACAGAAAGCCTTCTTTAAACTATGTGGTGAATTTGGTCAGAATCCATCAAGACGATTCGTCGGAATAAATTCCGAAACTTGCGGCATTTTTTTGCGTTGCGTGACTTTTGCACGGCAAATTTCAAGAAGCGATTTCTCAAGAACCACTGGAGATACAAATTTACAGCTTGAAGCATCTTTTAAACGCTTTACTTTAATCACGCTCAAAACTGCGCAAGTTTTTGCATTGCAAACTTCAAAGGGTGATTCCTCGAGAACCAGATGAGATATCAATTTGCGGCTTTAAAGGACAGCGTTACTTTAAATGTGGTGCAATTTTGGACAGAATCCAGCAAAAGCGCCTTCAATAATCAATTCCGAAATTCAAAAACACGATACTTACATGAGCAGCATGTTTTGAAAAAGGGGCACTTGGAGAAGATGGGTTTGCCGCCACTTTGCAAACAAGCGCTCTTGTCCATGCATGTTCCCTTGGTGTTCCCGTCGACGCTGCACTCCCTAAGCTTCTGCCCAACGTCTGCAGACGAAGCCACAGCATGAGAACGCTTGCCATACATAAACCACTGGATGGCAACTGGTTACTCACGCGAATTCCACAGCATGGCAAACGGATCATCCACTTCGCTGAAATCGAAGAATCCACACGTGACCAGCCCGAATAAGGCACACCCCAGTGCCAGCTTCAACATAGCAATTGGCACCAAAACACGTTCGAACTTCTACTGGTTCATCGGGTACCAACGCCACAGTTTATACCCTCCAGTCGCTGTTTGTTTAACTGGACGCGCGCCAACGGTACTATCGTTTGGTGAGCAAATATTTTCGGAAACTACAAGACTCTTCCATTACAAGACCGGCCCGATGTGTCAATAGGCATATCAGTGAATTTTTACACGGTTTGTGCCATGCGATAGACCTAAATTTGGGTGCTGATTGCCCAGCCCCGGAACTTGACGCCGCTTGCAGGGCGTTCGCTTGAACTTTGCCTGGTCATTGTAACCGTTTTTTTGAACAGAAAAAGCACATTTGCCTTTGCGGAAATGAATAAAACCACCCCGGATCTATTGAACAGTATATTAATTTGTCAAATGATAACATGGATCTGTTGTTGCTAGATTAAATCGAATATACAGGGTTATTCACGCTATACGGCAC